CGTCCGCTCCATGGGCGACCATGGACCACTTGAGTGTTTTCCTGGCCCATCGACCGTCAGTCCTTCGAGCAATGTGGCCTGTCCATTATCACTTCAGCTTGCAGATTTTAAGATCTTTCTCTATATTTCGGATTTTGTCGCACAGAGAAATTCCGAGTATAGCTTTTTCCATCGATAACTTGGCGATTCTAAGTCTCTCTAATAAATGCCAGAATTTAGGGGCCACATGACCCATCATAGTACCGTAAGTCGTCATTGGCAACATGCATTGTTTGTACTATCCTGGCCTTCAGGCACTGCGGGATTTTTGAAGAGACGACCTGAGTTGGATTCTTCAGACGACCTCTATCTATTACGTTTTTAATGGGCAAGCCCGCCACGACATTCCGAAATCGCTGCAAATCCTGCAAGCAAGGATCTAGAACCATAAAAACAGCGAAACAGCGAACTTCAACACGTCGATTTTATTTTATTAGTCAATATCACTATAAACGCCGTGGGGGTCACCGGTGATCGATGATAGTGAAGGATTTGCCTTCAGCAATTTTCTATTAGCAATCAAAGGCATATAGAGCGCTGCCGCATCACGCAAATTTGAAATCGAAGGGTTTCTTATAGTCCATAAACGCAAGACACATTATGTGTTGATTATGGGATTATGTATTATGTATGTAGTATATGATGTCAAAACCTTTACGGAACCCGGCTCGTACGGAAGGCTGGAAGTCATCAAGTCTGCGTTCGAGACGGTTCGTGATAATCCTCGAGAACAAATCTTAAACGTGGCTCAGACAGAAATGAGGTTTGTTATTCAGTCAGTTAGGAGTTCCCACCCTTCCTAGAGAAGAAAACCACCATACTGTTTTGTCATGTTCCTTCACTACAAGGAACTGGGTAACCCTGGAGCAGGACACCTACCTACGAAGGTATGACGAAACCTTAGTATGCGCATCCGCTCGCAGAAGTTTAGTCGTGGGTCGTGATTTCGTTATTCTCCCGGTGCCTTATTGTTTATCAGCTGTTTGAGAGATGAGAGCCATCCTAATTTCGTACAGGCTGATATCTGGGACCAGTGTATCGTCTAAAGCTGAACCGACAATTTGTTGCCGTGTTGAGGTGTATAACTGTCCGACTGTACTTAGAACTTCTCGTGATCTCTCAGAATCTTAGACTTTTTTATATTTGTAATCGGTCGGTGTTTGGCTTCTATTTCGACAAAATGATGCTGCCATCCTCGGTTTTTAGTCTCGTCATTTGGTGGGTCCATTGGCTTTGCGCATTAGACGAATTCTTTGCGAACGATTTGTGCAGTGCCGTGCAGCAATATACGTACGCACGGACAAACTATTGATTGGAGATTCTTGAAAGTAAAAAAAATATAATATTTAAAAGAAGCTTTTATTTAAATGTGTTAAAAATAATAAAATAAACTTTTCTCATCAATTTATCACCACAAGTCACTGGTTATCATCATATTTATTGGTGATGCAAAGATTATATGCGCGCCTCTAGCAGCGAAATTTAGAAGTTGTCTAAGAACGACACTTTGCTTTCGAGTTGAGGTTAATAATAATGGATCACGATTACATTTAGAAACCTGTTTTTAATAAAAGCAGAAACACAAAATATTTTTGCGTTCTTAAATGTAATACTTACGGAGATTCGAGAATAAGTTTTCAGATTAATATAATATTTCCAAAAAACTAAATTATGAATCAAATAAAATTTCTTGCTGTATGGAAAGAGGAAAGATCAGCTGTATAGCAACAAACCCTCTCAGATTTACTCAGCAGTGATATGTTTTTATTTTACTGTTGAAATAACTCCTTTTGGCCTAATAACTGAAATAAGTGCATCTTATGGTGGTCGATCATTACATAAACATATTGTAAATGAATCAGAAATCTTAAATAAATTCGAGTTTAGTGATGAATCGATGGTGAATAAATGATATAGGATTGAATTCGAGTATAATGAAGTGCGTTAAGGATATTAATTGAATAATTAGTATAACATTTGATTAATTTTGCAATTTACTTCAATATTTATATACAAGAAACCACATAAATCTGATTTATGTATAATAAATATTTTTTTTCTGTGACGTAAATTATATACAAAACTTTCAGTGTCGTTCTTAGACAACTTCACAATTTTGACACTAGAGGCGCTAGTTGGATTCTTTGTATCGCCAATAAATGTCGCGAGATTTATTTAAGTAAGTGCCTACTGTACACATACAAACATTAATTTATCTGCACTGCCGTGCCCCGCTAAGTCAAGCGCGAAGCAAACACTGCCGTGTGTACCATCCTTTACAGGAACAATGTCGCCGGTTTTTCAGCCCCCTATTTGAGAACCTCTGGATAAGACTCAGAAGGCCAGAATACAGAAATTTGCATCATCCAGTAAGCTATAATCACATAATAAAGTAATTTAAGATAAAACAAAGTAAAAATAGTAATACAAATTAGGCTTGCTTCGCACAAATAGCCAGTCGAGAAAATATTAAAAATGTAGAGTTGGTTGGCTTGGTTTTAAAAGTTTATATGCACCAAATGAAGTCTTTACATAATCTGTGCAATATTCTATCATTCATTCACACAATGTTCGTTTCATTCTCAACTTATCTATGATCAATTTCAATTCTCACTCATTCATTCATGAGAATCTGTCACTTATTACGTGCTGTCAGCGTAGCGGGAATTGAAACATTGAACAGGCATTTCCAAAAATAATAATTTAATCGATGAAAAATTAATTCCCCATAAATCAATTTTCAGCACATAAAATGTTTGAGTGGGCTTATAGTGGTGCAAACAAAGCTGTTCCTAGAAATGTGGGACCCGAATGTGCTTATTTTTTATCCACCAAAAGGCAAATAATAGAAACAATAGTCGTGGTTTCAACTTGTGTATATATTTCAGTAAGTGCGCTGCTTTTATTATTTTACCTAAGCATTTATTATTTATAAAAAATATATTAAATAAGTTGTGTTTTACTGCGTCTATTTGCGTTATAATTGAATTAGTAGTGTAGGTACAATAATTATGTTCTTAGTGTACTAATAATTATATATGTATTAATTTTAAAATTAATAATTATGTATTTTGATCTACAAAATTGTTACAGATTAAGACATTTCCAAAATTATCTGTACCTCAAGATACAAATTATGTTAAAAGTGATAGAGGTGGTAAAAGGTTATTGGTAATACTTCTGGCTCTGATATGGGGTATGGAAATTGGTTTTAAATTTGCCTCTCGTACAGTTATATATTTGTTGAATCCTTGTCATGTTACAACATTGATACAGGTGAGTGTTTCTAATTTATTATGAACTACAATGTTTACAAAATCCAAAATTCTTTGCATCAATCCTATTGGAAACGTTATCCAGCAGTTCATTTCAATTGATCACTGAAAAAGCTTCAAGTACTAGTTTGCCAAATTAAAAAATAAATAGTTATAATAAACCTCTTCACACATGTAATTTATCATGCTTTTAAATTTTGGTCAAATAATTATTGTCATGCCATGTATCAGTAAGATTTCATATTTGACAATTTCCGAATGAAAAAATCCAAATGAAATTAATCTTGATATAATGATTTGTGTGTCAAAAATAGTCAAAATATTTTTACCGAAGGACATTGTGTTTTTTTAATTGTATATAATACATAGGTAATTTACTCTCTGTTTTAGATCTATTTGTTGGCTGCACCACCTAGTAAAACTGTAACAGCTTTATTTCGCATCCATTTAAATTTGTTAAATGGACCTCTATTAGCATTTTTGTTTCCTGAAACAGCTTCAAGAAAGGTGAGTATTCTTAATTAAAATGTTTTATTTTGTTACTTTCACTATCACTAACATCTGTGTTATGATTATTAGATATTTGCTGAAGCTGCTCTGTACTGGATCCAACATGGCATGATGTTTGTCATACCATATTATCTACTGAGGATTGGTGGTGGGTTATATGAATTTGAAATCTATTTTTTTATTATATTACATGGTAATTAACACACCTCTTTTCTAGGCCCCTACAACATAGAACCCTTTTGGGATTTTCATTGGTCAATATTCAGCTATTGCCTAAACATGATATATCACTTCATCGTTTTACAACTTATTGCAATTGTAAGTAAATGTTTTATTATTTTGGTATTTACTATTTTGCTCTTTTTTAATGATTCTCACTACAGGTATAGAATTACACCCTGTTTCTAAGCTAGTTATTTCAAATACCAGACATCATCCTACCTTTCCAAAATGAAGTCAAATATAAACATGCCTTTAGTGACATAAATAGATCTTAGACATGTTTAATTAATTTTTGGGTTGATCAGCCTTTCAGAAACTACTTTCAGTAGTCTAGTAATCAGTAGTAAACTAATTAGTAGATTACATACAAACAAATAATTAAATTAAATATGTATATCTAAACCTACAGGTTAACTTAATCTAGATCCTTTAGGGGCCGATTTTATCAATGCCAGATTGAATATTTGACAATTCGTCCATCCTAAAAACTGTCAAATATCAATTTTATTAGCTAAGAATTAACTGATGATAGAAAAATCGACCCTTGTATATACAATATTGCTATAATGATAATTTTAATATAATAATAATAGTAATAGATAATTTTAAAATTTTAAAATTAAAATTATCTATTACTATAGTTATATTATATTATAATATAATTATAATATAATTTTAAAATTAAAATTATCTATTACTAACAACAAAACATGAACAATTGTAAATACCCACTTATTAATAACGACTTATTTAATTTCCTTTCAGCCTGCTCAAGTAAACTTAAACCACATGCTCTGCCCAGCTATATTAGATCCATTTGATGGACCGTGGTACAGAGTGGCAGCAGTGACCCACCAAGCACTACTGTGTCCTTTACTTTGTAAATTGTTTTGTCTAATATCCGATTTCTGCCTAACAAAATTCCCGCCTACTAAAGTAAAGCCGCATATGAAGGATTCTCTTATGGATACCCATGCTGTTACTGACACATACCCAGCGGAGCACCATAAGGACTAGTAGCAGCTGAATTTGGAACAATATATGGCTGTAATTCCTCTCAGGGTAGGTAAAACTCTAATAAAAATTGCCTTTTGAGTTGGAGAACAATATTTCATCGCGTCCATTTGGTTTTGGTGGTTAATATAATAATTATTAGTATGGTAAGGTTTATTAAATAGATGTATGAAACTTTTGCATGAAATTTGTTGGTATAATCGGTATACTAAAAATTGATAGCAAGTTTGAATAATGTGTAAACAACCTTTGTTCATTACATGTGTACAAGTATTGAAGTTTGGGTCAAAACACCCAAAACTTCGCGATAGGAGGGTCAATTCACCATAAAACTTGTAATTTTAATTCGTATTGATACTTTATTAGGTACTTATCACTTATCATATAATTGCTTTGCAACGTGTTTAGATATATGCAAGTAGGAATGAAATAACTCACTATGCAAACACATTCGTTGTGGTCACTTTGGGTTATCCACAATGGATGACAAAGTCATATGTATAAGTAGGTAGTGGTATCTCATGGTCACCACATATGTTAGAATCGGTAAAACAGACCCGCAGCTCTTGCTCAGGCAACTTAGTCGTAAGGGCATATTAGGTACTGTAGTGTTAGCAATCGTGTCGCCTAATTCGCCTACAACGCTAGATAATTCAAAATATTATTTAAGGAATGCGAGTTTCGCTTTGTGGTTACGACTGTGATTTACAAGTGCTGCAATAAAAAACAACTTTTATTGTTATGACATAGTTAGTACTAAATATTTGGTATTGTGGTTAGACATTCCTAAAGATGGAAAAGTTATTTCGTGTGTCATTTTTGCCACAATTGAAACATCAATAAATAGGGTAAACTGACCTAATTTTGGCACCACACCAATTATTGGCATTTCTGTGTTTAAACTCTTCTCATAAGAATACACGCAATCTAACGGTATTGCAACTTAATTTAAATGATTAGTAAAATTCTGAGCTACCAAACTGGCAACACATAAAAAAAAAAAGATATGACAATGGCGTCGGAACTGTACAACAGCTGAACGTGTCCTGACTTGATCTGTGAAAATTATTTTTTTGCTAAGGTAAAAGCTTTCTTAATATCATTGAATCTTATATTATCAAGCATTTATTATCCTACATGTTATGATTTAAGCAAATTCAGTACATATTATTCCACCATTTGAGCAATTATTTCCAAGAATTGCATTGTTTTTATTATTTTATCTTAGTGCCAACATTTGGTATTCAAAAATGTCCATATTCTAATTTATTGGCACCGGTGACAATAACTGGTTTTTTAGAGTTGTTATTTTTAGGTATTTATTTTATGCATTTATATATTAGTTAACCACATTTTTTTGTATGATTATTAAATAAAAGTAAAACATACAATGGTTCCAAATCTTGGCCCCCGTGCCAACCGCGAAATTACTAATTATTGACACTAGGGCCAAAAATTAGGCATAAGTATGGTAATAATTGGTATGATCTAGCCTACAATTTTATTTTCAGACTACCCGACTTTATCTAAACATGAAACCAAAAAATAAAGCTAAGAGCTCCAGAATAATATCCAAAGATATACGCCGGCGTAAGACATACAACTCGGAAAACTTAAATAAGGCCCTTCAAGCTGTCAAAGAAGGAATGAGCAAGAAATTGGCAGCAAAGACTTATCAAGTCCCACGGGCTACTTTGCAATATAGGATTAAGAATCCTGAGCACCAGTCACGTCCAGGCCCTCCTACTATTCTGACGGAAAAGGAAGAAAAAGATCTCGAAGATTGGATTTTGTTTAGTTGTAGAAAAGGTTTTCCAAAACGCAAACATGATTTAATTAGCAGTGTATCGAACTTTCTGAATAATAGTAACAGGGGCAGCGTTTTTAAGAACGGCGAAAAGTGGTATAAATTATTTCTTCAACGACACCCAAACATTTCTGTACGCACACCTGAGGCAGTCACAGCAGCTAGTGCTGCTGTGTCAGAAAATGATGTGAGAGGCTGGTTCAGTCAAATTGAAGATTATCTTAAAGAAAACGATTTATTTGATATACTCGAAGATTCTTCCAGAGTATTTAATGGCGATGAGACCAACTTCCTTCTTTGCCCTAAAACGGGTATTGTATTGGCTCCTAAAGGCGAAAAAAATGTCTATGAGATAGACAATGCGCTCGCCAAAACTTCCTTGACTGTAATGTTCACATTTTGTGCTCACGGAGATCTCACACCTCCAATGGTTATATTTCCGAATAAGCGTTTATCAGCCGACATTACGTCCAAGGTTCCATCAAATTGGGGTATAGGGCTTAGCGACAACGGGTGGATGAAAGCCGAAGTCTTTCACGATTACATCGAGAGTGTATTACACCCTCACTTAATCAAAAAAGGCACTAAATTCCCCATAATATTGTTTGTTGATGGTCATAAGACTCACTTAACATTTGCTGTTAGTGAGTTATGCAAGAAATTGGAAATTGTCCTGATTGCATTGTACCCCAACTGTACCAGATTACTGCAGCCAGCTGATGTGTCAGCCTTCAAACCCTTGAAATCTGGTTGGCAGAAAACTGTTTTGGAGTGGAGACGGAATAATCCTTCAGTAGCTCTCACTAAGAACAATTTCGTACCCCTTCTAGACAAAACTATCAAAAACACGATCTCGGCATCAACAGTTATTAATGGATTTAGAGCTACAGGTATTTGCCCATGGAATGTGAATGCTGTGGACTATACAAAATGTCTTCGGAAAGCAAATATTCCACTAACAGAAACTTTTAATAAAAAAATTAATGAAAATCCAAAAGTGATGACCAAAGAAGACTTCAGAAATATTATAGGAGCAAGCAAAATGAGTCAAATTGAAGGTGGTGCACTTAAACCAGAAGAAAGCTATTTGCAAAAACTGTGGAACTTTTTCACAGAAGTGCAAAAAGATAGTACACATTTAAACAAAGACAATACTTCCAATGAACAAGATGTGGATATTACATTAGATACAATGGATATTGAAAACATGCCCGTTATTTTAAACGAATACTTGACAGAAGAGCTTTCTGATTGCGCACCTACACCTACGTCAGAAATTATTGTAACAGCAGAAGACTTCAATAATGGCAATGATGATCGTTCATGGGGCAATTCACAAGAAGTTTTACATGTAACTCATAAAGCAGAAGTGCATGAAGCTACGACTCGAAATACGAAAATTTCAATTCTGTCCCAACAAATTGAACACCCCACGAAAACAGACGCACAACAACAAAATTCCGAGTTTGAAAAAATAGAAACATATATTGATCCAGCACCTGTGAAGATTCAAAAACCTTCTACTGTCATGTTAAACCTTACTCCCATTAAATTAACCGATGTCCTTGTATTGCCAAAATCACCACAACGAAAAGGCGTTAGAAACATAAAGAGAGCTCCTTTTGTACTGACGTCTGAAAAATGGAGATCTATTGAAAGCGAAAAACTCCGCATAAAACAGGAAAAAGAAGAAGGTATAAAAAAAAGAAAAGAAGAAAGAGAAAAAAAGAAATTAGAATCAAAAACTAAGCAGACGAAACAAAAAGTAACAGCAGCTAAGATGAAGATTGCGAAGGAACATAAAAGAGTAAATGCAGATGTTAAGAAAATTGTGCCACCTGAAAAGTTGGACACCGCAGATATTTCATGGATACCACCTGCAAATGTAGACTGTACACCGATTGAAAATCAAGAGGATAAGGAAAATTACATCGACAATGCCTGTTTAGTTCCTGAAAATAACAATAATAAACAAATCAAGATTGTATACACTGATGCTGAAATAGAGAAGTTTTTGACTGAATTTGATTCCTCTGATGTTTAAGTTGTTGTGTAGTTAAGAGTTTCATTTATTGTGTAGTTATAAGTGATAACTTTATAATTGTTTTTCTTTTTCTAAATGTTTACTGAACATTGATTTCATAAAGTACCTAGGTATGACCCAAATTATTGATATGGCGGTTACATTGATTGTTTTGTTTTTATGTTTATGTGACTAAGTATAGCTGCATAAATAAAAGTGATTATAAGCTAGGCTTTTTTAACTTCATCCTTTTCCTTTTTAGATATTTTTCCTTTATATACTGATTTATCTGAAATGCCAATAAATGGTAAAGGCCCATGCAGATAATTGGCCAAAGTATGCCAGTAATTGGGAAAAACGTTTTATTTAGCATAAATTAAAAAATAAAATAAAAGCGATGATATTAATTGAGGTTTTATTTATTTAAAACGAAAAATAACTTTCAAGTTGTAATTTTGAAAAAAATGTTATATTGGCAACCCTCCATAAAGTTATTTTTCACGATTTAAGTGAAAGGTGATGCTTAAAGTGCCAATAATTGGGTACCTTACCCTATATGCAAAACCGACGTTGGTATCTACAAATTAATATCATCGCCACAAAATTATAAAATAATAATTATAGTCCTATCTAAGATCGATATTATTGAACTATTCCCAAATGAAGATCTCTTCTTATGGTCATGTATAGTTATATGGGATGCAAATACATTCAACAGATATGTACGTGCTTCCCTTTTCAACTATGCTGGAGCGGAGACCTTCGCTTGAGATCTATAACACCAGCATTAAACACGTACGTAAAAGTAGGTTTAATGAGTGCTTGTTGCGTAATCAAATAAGTCTACCTAGTTACCTACTAAAACAACTAAAGTTAGAATACCTAACATAAACGTTTGGCCTAAATAGGTACTTGAAATTCCAATACCCTATTTGTAGGACTTAGGGCAATGTCGTATTCCAAGCTAAGTATAAAATAAAACCGTCTAGTTTCATTGATTTTATATATTTATTGATCATATTTTATATATTTACATATTATTAAAGAAGGTGTAATATCTGTACCTACACTGATCTACAGTACCGTACAGTACAGTAAAAATGTGATAATATTTTTTGCAGATAGATATTAAGTTTAAATAACAGTAACTTCTTGCAGTTGTCATTTAAAGTTGTGCTGTTACAACTACCGTTCTTTTCAGCTGTATATTTCAATTTAGTCTTTAATAAAATTAAGTATTTACGTACTATTGGATATTGATGAACTTGATTTCAAAATTGACGGGTCAAACCTAGTCCTACTTCTGTAGTAACTTTCGGGGTCATGTAGGGATTTACAGAAGCCATACTTTACTTAGGTAGTAAATATTACAACGTTGTGTGCTATACAATGTCTCTTGTCGTAATGTATCCGTCACCGTTACCAGTGTAACCTGATTTTAGTACAAACTAGTATTGCCTAGGTTAAATTGTCGAAGAAGCAGAACATAGAGGAATCCCACATGATAGGCAGATACGTTAGGTTAATTGAAACCCGACGTTAACGACGTGCTCCGTGCATTACCACCAGGCGAGATAGTGCGATCAAACGTCGACCCATCAAATATAAAAAAAAACTCTGCAGGCAGAATTATGAGCCCTACGTATCGTATAGTTCCTACCTATGTCGCCTTGGACTAGTTTAGCCTAGGCAAAAATAGTTTTTCTCTAAAATCAGGTTTATCGGTAATATGCCGAACAAGAAGACATTAAGTAGATACCTAATGCACGTAGTAATCATTGTCATACAATTTCAATTTAGCACCGGGTACTTATTACATAATTAAAATAAGTACATACATATTTGTATATGCCATCCACATCTGTAGAAACGACTAGTAACTGGCACATCAAAGCAAAGTGTCATAGCATGATCGGTACACAGTATTGAATATACTCGATTCAAGTGTAATATTCAGTTCGAAGTCAGTCTATTGTTTGAATAACACGGTTAATTTAGTTGTTTCTTTGCAACACTAAATTACTACATTGGTAATGCGTAATGTATAATGTCCTACTTCATTTTCAAAATGTAACTCTTTTACGTCATTCTCCATAGATACTGGTTTCGATGGACTTACCATTGATTTTTTATAAATAATTTTAATGAATGCCCACCAGTATTACGGTTGTTAACGCATATTTAAGCAGGAAGCGGTACAAGTATAGGTATACGCTTTCGTACAGCTACAACGAGTATAGCGTGTCTCTGTGATACGATAACGATACCTAATAAATGATACACCTAGTCATTAATTTACTATTATTATGTCATTTGACTCACTGAATTAAGAAACATATTATAGAGCCCGACACAAACCATGGCAGGATTTTGTCGTGGTGGTTCGCGCATGTTTTTTCATAATTTTATGGTTATTGCCATCATTTAAATCTAATCATGCCTTCTTGGAAGAAAGTTAACATAAAAATAAAAAAGGAGTTTGTGTTGATAGTTAAATTAAATGAGAACTAATTAGAAAATGCACTTGCACACTGCGTCAACTTATCCCCACCACGAGAAACCTTTACCATGATTCGTGCAGGATATAATAACATTTTGAGTAATTCTATATTTGCCCATGTTTGTTTCTATTAAAGCATAACAATTCTCCACTTTTTAATGTAAGTAGTTGATGCATGGGCGTAATATGTCTTTAACAGAGCTATGCTCTGTATGTAGGTAATAATAGTTATATTAGTAGTAGGTATACTTAGTCCTTTTAAGTGTTTAAATACTAAAATTTGGCTTGATTAGGTACCGCAATTTAGAAAACCGGTTTCACGATATCTGATTAGGTTATTGTTAGCTGATTAACTTACTTTCTCATGACACAGCGAACATAATGAAACAGGCCTTTAGAGTTGAAGCTAAAGGAGTCTACAACACGTCGACACCGTATTACTAACCCAAAAAATCGATAGAACCGTGAAGGTTGTGAGTAGATAAGTGGTGATGGGCTAATACCTACATATAGGAAGGGGGTAGGTATAAACATTTTAGACGTAATAATAATGCACGTTAGGCAAATTTAACATATTAAATAATATTAAGTACATACTGAAGTTCAAAAAGTCATGATTAATCATGACTTAGATATATTTAAGTTGCTGCACTCTAAGTGAAATAATGCTTCTTAAACTACCTATATATCTAAAATGTATTACGTATCTACTAATTTTAGCTACAAAAATTGAGGCCGGAAGGCGTGCCTAAAACAATAACTGCCAGAAATAAGCTTTTATTATTTATTTATTTTACTTAACATTGCCTGAGAAATAACGATGCACTAATCATTTTCTTAGAATCAGACGTAGCAGTGAATAGTTTAAAAGTTTTGAAATAACAAATGTTCACCCTTACTTACAAAGTTTACCTAGGATATTGTAATATTATCAATTTACGTAATTAATAATTGTTTAAACCAAAAATTTGCTAATTTAGTGTAAAATACAATAAATAAAAAAGTTGGTAATAATTTTATGCATATATGATACCATGGAGTATCGAGTAATCGAGTCATAAACAGATATCAAGAACGTTACCAAAAAAGTACATTCGTACTTTTTTACGCGCGGAACGCGACGCGCCGTACGCTCGGGTCTGTTTCTGGTCGGACGGGGAGCCACCTATGCTCGCCGTCCGCAGGTCCGCGCTTACGGTGGCCGGAGATCGTCCCGCGATCCCCGACGCCCGGTGTGTCCTTCGCGATGGCTAGGTTGCGAGGAGGCAGCGCTTCGCTGCCTCACGCGTCCCGCCTCCTCATTAGCTAGCATGACTGCTTCGCAAAAGGAGGAGACTGCATCCCAATCCCCCTCGCTCCGCATCATGGCCTGCACTAGGCCCGGACACGAGAGGTCGCCATCGCCGATCACTTCCCTGAGGACACGGCGGTGCTCAGCCCACGCAGGGCATTCCGCTACAGTGTGTTCCACCGTGTCCTCAGGGCGGTCCTCGCAGTGATGACACCCAGACGTTTACTCCCGCCCCATCAGACACAGGTACCTCCCGAAACTCCCATGTCCGGTGAGGACCTGCGTCAGGCGGTAGGTGAGGACGCCGTAGCGTCTCTCAAGCCACTCCTCAAAGAGGGGAAAGACGAAAGCCTAGGTTAATTTTTTGTATCAAAGTCCTATAAATATTGTCAATAATATATTATGTTCATTGTTGATCTGCTTTCTTTACCTTAGCAATGACTCAGTAGTTATCCATTAAACAAAATTAATTATTCCAACTATGTAAATATTTATTTTCAACTCGGCTGGGGCACTGCGGTGCCCCCAGATTAACTAAATACTGGTTAAATTAATTAACTAGTAACCGTAAGTACAATGACCTTTTTTAGTTTTATTCAAATTCGATTGTTCTCGAAAATAAATAGGTAGGTTTTTACAAAACAATAACGTGTATGGATAAGCATGTATATTTAGTTCGTTTAGTCCAAGAAACTTAACACAATAAATTGAAGCTGGCTCAAACGCTGCCAAATTCCTTTCTATTATTTCTAGCCCAATGAATAACTTGGGTAAATGTTAGTCATGAAGTTGATACATTTATCGATTTTTTACGTAGGTACTTTCACATCGATTGATGCCTATTTGTCCTTCAATGTAGACATACCTACTCGGTTCTACTAATAGACACAAGTTTCAATACACCGTCCGTTCAAATCACATTTTTTCGGTTTCAAAGCAAAGTCAGTACGCCATATTTAGAAGGATATGAGTATAAACTCCAAACTGTTCATGGAACTATATATAAGTTATAATCAACAACAACTACACTTTTGTATTCGTTATCTTACCAATACAACCCACTCAGTGAGGTGGAATAAGTTTCAATCTCATACCAATAGATGGTGTAAACAGTGTAGGTAACTCGCGAATTTTCAGAAATCCATACCTAATCTCACCAGAATTTAAATCATAAAAAAAAGTTTCAGTGGTTATTGAATAAATGTTATGTATTTATATGTTTGTTTTCTGTAATTAAATTCCTTTGAAGATCTGAATCTTTTTTTAACCTCTACGGGTTTTAATATTGAACCTTCAGTGCCATTGTTAAATTAATATTATTTAGTTTTAGTAATTTAATATAAGTATTACAGTATAGATTTATAACCAAGAGCCTTAACCAAATTTGATTCTCCTTCCCGTTATATACCTACCTAAATAGATAAGCTAGCAATATAAGAAATAATTTTGATGTTATTTTCCTTGTTTTAAATAATTATGAGGCCAGGCCTAATTACTTCGTTTTAAAACTTAGATACATGAACAAGGTACACACGGCCACACATCAATCTATACAAAACCAGTTTATCCTGGTGTCGCGTCGCATCATCTTTCTGCACATTTAACGTTCAGTTTATACTGGTTATGTAAAGCTCGATGTGTAGCCGTGTGTACCTATGCTCATTGTTGTACCTAATATCAAAATATGGCGCCTCGTTGATCCTATTCGTAGCTAACCACAATTACGTATCTAATAAATACCTTGTT